TCATTGATTTAAGTATTTTTCATTACCCTCCTGACGATTTCAGGTATGTTATTAAAAATCTCGTTAAGGGAGTTTTACATCTTCATTACTTTTAGGGGGTCCATGTAGTAGATGAATTCTTGTACCGGTCAATCCATGTAGTAGATGAATTCTTGTACCGGTCAATCCATGTAGTAGATGAATTCTTGTACCGGTCAATCCATGTAGTAGATGAATTCTTGTACCGTCAATCCATTGACGAATCCTGTAAATGAATTTGCATCTTGCGAATATTCCGGAGTACGAACACCTGTTGATTGCCGGCAGCTATCCGGCGTACCACCGAGTAGATAAGCGCTAACACCTAAACGATACCGGGAGCGACCAGCTGATTGTGGAATTTTCGGAAGATACGATCTTTTACACAACCTTTTTTTTTTATTTGCTTCAATACCGTTAATCTAGTGTAACCTTCCGACGATTTATGATTGGAGCTTTGTATTTTGTTCGCATCTAGTGTTTTGAGGTCGTGGCTCTCTTCAAGAGCAACGCACCTGTATTTAACGTATGGGTAAACGAGCCGGCTACGAGTAAGCTATTTTTGGCCCTTCTGGCTCATATAATCGTTCCGAGCGTTGTAGCTTGGGGTTTGCTTTTGTGTTACAGAACTGGAACTTCGAAGGAGAGCTCTTTTTCGGAGAAGACAGCTTATGTGTGATTCAAGGTAAGATTTTTAATTTACTTGTACCCAGTGTTGCCTATATGAGTTGTTATTCGGGTTAACTTAATTCAATCTTTGAATCCATTGAAATCTTAACTACATTTTTGCTCGATCATTGTTGTAGGGGTCTGGTAACGTAATTATTAGGGAAGTGTTCATGAATTTATTTGGGGATTATTTTTTGTCATTTAAAGTATTTGTTATTGTCGTATTGAAGATACATTTTATTTGCCGATCCTGCACCGTTTTGTCAGGATTAATAAATCAGAATTGCTCGTAGTGAGTTTATTATTTGGCTCTCTTGTGTTTTCCCAATTTCTATACAGGAGAGGTCAGAATTTGTGCAAAATTGGGTGGCGCTCAACTAATCCTTTGTAGTAACTACCAAAGATCAAAAACTTATGTTATATGCCCAAACGAACAAACCGCTGTGGAAGATTCTCATCTCGAGCCCTTCTTTTAATTAAGAATCTGAGCTAGCTGGCCGTTTATGCGGCGGGGTTTGAGTTTTACAGCGCCGAACTAACCTCACGTTATACAAAGCAAAAGCACACAGCAGTTATTAATGTATAACCAAAATACTTCCAGACAAGCCGTACTTTACACTTCAGCAGGTTACAAGACAAAGACCCCGAACACACATGTTAAATCCTATTTATTTGACCAACCCAAGCCACGCGGTAATTTGATCTGCTAATACCCCTAAACCACCCCAAAATCGCCCATTCCCTGCATTTCCCGCATTTCTAAGAAAAAAGTGGACTGCAGGTGTTGAAATTGTAAACACATGTCGTCTTCCAAGAAATTCCATCCGTCTCATCTTCGCTCTCTTTCCCTTTTCTGTAATCCCACCAGATTTCTGTTGGCAGCTTGTGTAACCTACATGATGTATAGAGTGCTTCGTATCGACAATCATATTCACAGGACGTTGTTAAGGTTGGGGCATCTCAGCTGTCCTGTGAAGCTTTTATTAAAAATTAAAAATGATAAGAACGGGGAGTGGAAATGATATTACGAGTAATGCTTTGATATTGTTAGATGGTGACATCTAGCGATTGCAAAGAATTTTAAGGCAGCGTTCACGCGCTCTATAAATAAAATAACATCCACATTGTTACACGCCTACTTTCTTAATTTTCACAAATACGCCTACTAAATAGTGTTTGTTCATCTACAATTAATTTAGATAGGTAGAGAACGCAAACATATACAGCGAAGAATCGGAACTGTATGATGTACTTCCTCCGCGAAACATACAGGGCAACATCGCACTGATAAGACTGTGACTGAACACTGAAGGATCATCCCATACAGGAACGCATCCGCGCCGCCTACGTGGACCCAGTAGTGGCACAATGCTATTCATCATGGTAGATGAAATTAACAAGTGGCTTGAGTGCGAGTACCAGAAACGATTGCTCACGGTGGTCCAGTTGCCGATGGTTGATCGTCAAGGCGTTGTCAGTGGCGTTTCCAAAGTAGATCACCGTAAACCTACTTACAAAACGCGTGCTACGCCACTGCTACAAATCCTAACCCCAAAATCTATCAGCTGATATGTAAGTAAATGAGTAAATTTCCGTCAGCAACGAGTTGTGTTCTCTTCCTTTGCCATTGTGGGTGTAGTGGCATCATAATGTCGGCAGTCGTTAAAGTGGAACTTAAACAAGAAGAAGAAATAAACGCATTCATTGACGAAAAGGTCTGTTTTACCAATGACGTTTGCGCAACGATTAAACAGGAGATGAATGAAACTACTAGTCCCACTGATCACTCCCATTTGTATACCAGAAATGATGTGAACCCAGAAACTGAACGTAAAGGAGTCATCTTGCTGAAATCTTCAGTAGATTTCCCATACTTTAAGCAACCGCAAGACTCGAAACTATTTAAATGTGGTCAATGTGATTACGCAAGCAATAATAAGTGTAATTTTAACACGCATCTCCTAACACACAAAGTTTCCAAGGATTTAAAATGCACAGAGTGTGATTACGCGACCAATAACAAATTCCATTTTAAAAGGCATTTATTAAATCACAAAAGCTCAAAAGATTTCAAATGTGACCTGTGTGATTACGCAACCAATGATAAATACCATTTTAAGGGTCATTTGTTAACACACAAGCCTTTCAAGGATTTTAAATGTGTTCATTGTAACTACGCGTCCCATAGAAAATCCAACTTGGAAGCACATCTGTTGATGCACAAGTCTGACAAGGATTTTAAGTGTGCCCATTGTGACTATGCAACCCATAGAAAAGCCAACTTAGAAATTCATGTTTTAAAACACAAGGATTCCAAAGATTTAAAATGTGTCTACTGTGATTATGCAACAAACAATAAATGCAATTTTAAAACGCATCTCTTAACACACAAAGTTTCGAAAGACTTAAAATGCGTCGATTGTGATTATGCAACAAACAATAAATGCAATTTTAAAACGCATCTCTTAACACACAAAGTTTCGAAAGACTTAAAATGCGTCGATTGTGATTATGAAACCAATAATAAATCCCACTTCAAAGGGCATTTGTTAACACACGTGTCGTCCAAGGATATAAAATGTGACCGCTGTGATTACGCAACCAATGATAAATATCGTTTCAAAAGACATCAATTAACACACAAAGCCACCAAAGATTTCAAGTGTGTTCATTGTGATTACACAACCAATGACAACTCTAACTTTAAGACACATACATTGAATCACAAGATTTCCAAGGATTTTAAGTGTGACCAGTGTGATTATACAACCAATAACAAATACAATTTTAAAAGACATCTTTTAACACATAAAGCTTCCAAGGATTTAAAATGCGTCCATTGTGATTATGCAACTAATGATAAATCGAATTTTAGAGTACATCTTTTAAAACACAAGGTGTCCAAGGATTTTAAGTGTGACCAATGCGATTATGCAACCAATAATAAATCTTATATTAAAGGACACATGCTAACACACAAAATCTCAAAGGATTTTATATGTAGCAGTTGTTATTACGCAACCAATGACAAGTCTAACTTTAAGACTCATCTTGTCAAACACGAAGTTGCCACGGATTTAAAGTGTACCGAGTGCGATTACGCTACATATAACAAGTCCTTTTTTAAGACCCACCTGTTAACACATAACACTACGAACGATTTAAAATGTGTGCAGTATAACTATGCAACGAATAAGAAATCTCATTTTAAAGGACACTTGTTAACACACAATCCTTGCAAGGATATAAAGTGTGCCCGGTGCGATTACGCGACGAACAATAAATCTCACTTTAAAAGACATCTGTTGACACATGAGATGTGCTCTATGTGATTTTGCAACCAGGTATAAATCCTGCGTTAAAAAACATTTGTTAACGCACAAAACTGCAAATGAGTTAAGATGTGACCGGTGTGATTACGCAAGCAATAGTAAATAACATCTATTATCACACCAGACTTTCTAGATTTTAAATTGTGAATGTGTATAGTCCCCAAGACTTTCAATAGCTTTAATATTTGTTTAAAGATGCAACGTCGATAGTAATGTATAAGTTGATGTAGTATAGCTTAGGCAATCAATCCACTACACACTTTTCTTGGCATGTGGAAGACTGGTGACATAGCTATCAACAGGGATATAATGGCAAGAAATGTGATGGCTTTGAATAGTTTAAATTGTAAACCTTAGATGTCTCTACCATTGAGAAAAATTGATTTACTTTATTTAATTATTCTAATTTTTGTTTCGATAATCGATTCAGATACACAGACCACATCTATATCTCTGGCTATACTGCTCATATTGGCTAGTAAGAAAAGAGCATTATTCGACGCCTAATTTTATGCAACCGAAGTAACATGTTCACGTATTTTGCATTCGGCCGCTATTATCCTTAAGTTTCTTATGGGATTCTCCTCAACAATTAACTCCGGCTCCGCCACCTCCGATCAGTACTTTTAGTATGTTGTTTAAGACACCTTCACCTACAACTATATCAAAATTCGCATTTACACGAATTATTTCCCCTATTTGGGAGTTTTTGGTCTTCATTGCGTGTGCTATGGTATGACTCCTACCTACAACATAAATTTTATTTTATTGTAAACCTACTAATAGACAAAGACAATAAAACCAAGACAAAGAAACAAAAACAACTCAAACCGTTTTTCTAACATAATAAAGTAACTGTTTTTACTGAGGGAGCTCAGGAGCATCTGTGATTTTAATATAACGCCTAATTTCTTATAATCAGAATTAGCACATTTAAAAATCTTTATTTTTAAGTGATTTTAAAAATCTCAAATATCTCAATTAATCCTTAGATACGGTATGTTTTAAAAGATGTCGCTTGAAGAGGTATTTATTATATGTCCCATATTCACAATCAGCACATTTAAAATCCTTAGAAACTTTATGTTTTAGAAGATGTCGTTTGAAGTGGGCTTTGTTACTTGTCTCATAATCACAAGAAGCACATTTAAAATCTTTAGAAACTTTATGTTTTAAAATATGATTTTTAAAGTTGCGTTGAACATTTGTCTCATAATCACAATGAACACATTTAAAATCTTTAGAAACTATATGTATTAAAAGATGCCGCTTGATGGTGTCTTTGACATTTGTCTCATAATCACAATGAGCACATTTAAAATCTTTAGAAACTTTATGTACTAGAAGATGTTTTTTGTAATCGCTTTTAACATTTGTCCCATAATCACAATCAGGACATTTAAAATCCCTAGAAACTTTATGTTTTAAAAGATGATGTTTGAAGTTCCGTTCAGCATTTGTCTCATACGCACAATGAGCACATTTAAAATCTTTAGAGACATTATGTGTTGAGATATGTCTTTTAAGGTGCTGTTTATTATTTGTCCCATAATCACAAGTATCACATTTAAAATCCTTATAAATTTTATGTTTTAAAAGATGTTGTTTGAGGTTGCCTTTAACGTTTGTCTCATAATCACAATTACCACATTTAAAATCCGTAGACACTTTATGTTTTAAAAGATGTTTGATTCTACCTTTAACATTTATCCTATAATCACAAGTATCACATTTAAAATCCTTATAAACTTTATGTTTTAAAAGATGTTGTTTGAGGTTACCTTTAACGTTTGTCCCATAATCACAATTAGCACATTTAAAATCTTTGGACACTGTTTTACACCGAGTTAAAAGGTGAACCTGTAAGTCAGAGTGTGACTGTACTTCTCCATTATAAAGAGATTTAGAACACTGTGGACTAATGGTAATTTCGTCCTTTACCAAAACCTCGTTGCTTACCGAAATGTGTCCATGAAGGAAGGAATGGATTTCTTCTTCGTGTTTTGGTTCGATTTTAATGAGTGGTGTGTCATTTTCTTCATCCATACCTAACCACAGTAATGTTATAAATAAACGCGTTAAAAATCTGTTTTGGTTTAAAACAATATAGAGCGAGATCCCTTTGAGCAACCAGACATTACTTACTGTCTGAATAACAGAACTTGTCGCTGACACCACGTCACCGGTTATCACGGGAGGCTACAGTGGCGGAGATGTTATAAAGAGAAAATGCGAAAGGCATGCGCAGTTCAAAGCCAGCTGACCAATTGCTGCAAGCGACTTGCAAGGACCGAGGATATATGTCTTGCACGAACCGCGCAATTGTAGGGATAAATCTAGTTGTCCTTCTGTCACCAACCTATTATCTATTCACCCAACAGATGCAGTTAAGCTCCTCCCAAAAAATTCCCGGCAAATTTAAATGAACATTTTTAATTGGTCGAATTTTCAGAACTATTTGCTTCCAATTATAATTGCCGTATCTAAATTGACATCCTTAACGTCAAACCTGTCATTGCGTTTTGTATTTGCCTTGCCTCAATTTCATTTATACGAACAAACTAATCTTTTTGAACTTAATAAACAATTTGAAACTATGTACTGCTGTGTGTTTAAAGGTCAATATTCAAAACATAAAACGATTTTTAATTTCCCGGTTTTTATAATTTTGGGACTGTGAAACGGGTCTGTTTGTTACATTGGCCAAAATTTATTGGGCGTGGCTTAACTGCATCTGTTGGGTGAACAGATTATAGTAAAATACATACTCACTAGTCACTACTTTATTTAATTGTTACCGACTTTGTTGACAAATCCACGGTTTTCTTTTGGTCTGTTATGAATACATTTTATTTTAATTGTAATCTAGTTATGAGTACTTATAATACATTTTGTGAAATATATTTATAATTGAAAAATTCTTAATGTAAAGATTTACAAAAATGTTCAAATTATAGTCGGTAATTCAGCGTACGGGACCTGAGCCAAGGTCGGCCGAGCCTAGGGGCACTGAAAACTGCTCAACTATTTTTCTAACATCCTGTAGTCAAAAATGGTCACCGAGTAAGCTCAGGAACACCTGTAATTTGAAGATAACGTCTGATGTCTTATAATCGCTATTAGCACTTTTAAAAACTTTAAACTTTTGTTTTAAAAAGTGATGTTTAAGAGAGGTTTTGCCTTTTATTCTAAAACCACAAATATCTTAATTAAATTCCTTAGACACTGTATGTTGTAAAAGATGTCGCTTGAAGTTGTATTTATTATTTGTCTCATAATCGCAATCGGCACATTTAAAATCCTTAGAAACTTTATGTATTAAAAGATGTCGTTTGAAGATGCCCTTTACATTTGACCCATAACCACAATCAGCACACTTAAAATCTTTAGAAACTTTATGTATTAAAAGATGTGATTTGAAGCTGCCTTTATAATTTGTCTGATAATCACAATCGGAACATTTAAAATCCTTAGAAACTTTATGTTTTAAAAGATGATGTTTCAGGGAGTCTTTATAATTTGTCTCATAATCACAATGAGCACACTTAAAATCTTTAAAAACTGAATGTTTTGAAAAATGTTTTTTGAATGCGCTTTTATCATTTGTCCCATAATCACAAACAGTACATTTAAAATCTTTACAAATTTTATGTTTTAAAAGATGTCGATCCAGGTTGCATTTAACATTTGTGTTATAATCACAAACAACACATTTAAAATTCTCAGACACTTTATGTATTAAAAGATGTCTTTTGAAAGTGGTCTTATCATTCGTCTCATAGTCACAATCAGCACATTTCAATTCCTTAGAAACATGTTTCAAAACGTGTCGTTTTAACTTGCGTTTATCATTTGTCCCATACTCACAATCAGCACATTTGAAATTCTTAAAGATGTTATGTGTTAAAAGATGTTGGTTGAAGTTGCCTTTAACATTTGTCCCATACTCACAATCAGCACATTCAAAATCCTTAAAAACATTATGTTTCAAAAGATGTTGGTTGAAGTCGCCTTTAACATTTGTCCTATAACCACAATCACATTTAAAATCTTTATGTGTTAAGGAATGTTGTTTCAATGCGCTTTTATCATTTGTCCCATAATCACAATCGGCACATTTAAAATCTTTAACAATTTTATGTTTTAAAATATGGCGTTTGAAATAGCGTTTAACATTTGTTTCATAATCACAATCGCCACATTTCAAATGCTTAGAAATGCTATGTATTAAAAGATGTCGTTTGAAGATGCTTTTAACATTTGTCGCATAATTACAGTCAGCACATGTAAAATCCTTACAAACTTTATGTTTTAAGAGGTGATGTTTGAAGTTGCGTTCCGTATTTGTTTCATAATCACAAACAGCACATTTAAAATCTTGAGAAACGTTATGTTTTAAAAGATGTTGTTTGTAGTTGAATTTAATATTTGTTTTATAATCACAATGAGCACATTTAAATTCCTTAGACACTTTATGTTTTAAAAGATGTTGTTTGATTCTGCTTTTAACATTTGTCTCATAATCACAATTAGCACATTTAAAATCTTGAGATACTTTATGTTTTAAAAGATGTTGTTTGATGTAGCTTTTGATATTTGTTTTATAATCACAATGAGCACATTTAAAATCCTTAAATCCTTGATGTATTAAAAGGTGTTGTCTGATCCTGCTTTTATCATTTGTCTTATAATCGCAATGAGCACATTTAAAATCCTTAAACACTTTATGTATTAAAAGATGTCGTTGGAAGTTGCTTTTATCATATGTCCCATACTCACAATCAGCACATTTAAAATCCTTACAAACTTTGTGTTTTAAAAGATGTTTGAAGTTGTCTTTAACATTTGTCTCATAATCACAATCAGCACATTTAACATGTTGGGACACTGTTTTGTATTGAGTTAAAAGATTACGCTGAAAGTCAGAGTGTTGTGGTTCTTGTTCATTATACAGAGATTTGGAACACTGTGGACTAATGGAAATTTCGTCCTTTACTGTCACCAAAACCTCGTTGCTTACTGAAACGTGTCCCTGAAGAAAAGAATGGATTTCTTCTTCTTGTTTTGGTTCGATTTTAATGGGTAGTATTAGTATGTCATTATCTCCATCCATACCTAACAATAAATCTGTTTTGGTATTAAACAATATAGTTATACAGCGAGATTTAGGTAACCAGACATTACTTACTTTCTGAATAACAAAATTTATTGAATAAGAGTTAACCGCACGTCACCATTGATCAGAAATGGCTTCAAAAGAGAGTACGGTGACGTTGAGCATGCGCTCTACAATTTTTGTGTGTGCATTTCAAAAAATTTAAGACGACAATCTGAAATCTACGAAGCCGTCTAATGGACATCGTCTTTTTTATTGTTGTCTCTACTTTCTATTGAGGATATTTTCGACAAACTTTATCAAAATAACATTAGGAACTTTTAGTCTAAATAATTCACCTAGGGAATTTTGAAATAGAAGTTGCATTAAGTTGGCAGTATGGCGTCTCAAATATTTCTCTCATTTGAATACGTCTTATCAATTTTGTTTTAATTAATTAACTTCAGAAATTGGTACATTACTGTGGAACAATTCATAAAGGCGAAATGCAGTCCCCCTTCCTGTTAATTAATTTATGTGAAATTCAATCATATCACTTTAGATTTCTTGTATTTTCATTCAACTCAACAAACTTTTTGCATTTCAGTGTTTCATTTTGCGTTCCTTCCCTACTGTACTTCAGGTCATAGAGTTTTTTTCAACTAACGTAAGGGGGGGTCTGCTTTAGATGTTTGGTCAAGGACTTTTTTTTTATTTCAAATTTAAGCGAGATTCTGTTTAGCTTTTAGAGGTAATAGCCATTTCGGTTGCCATTTTTAAACGTTGCCGGATTGATTTTATTTCCGTGTTTGGTAGTGAAAAGATAGTGTGGAAGATATTGCAGTGTATATTTACGATGGCTATAAATCGGAATATTCCATGAACAGAATGGATTGGGACATAGCACAGGAGCTGAGATCTCATCTAGAGTGAGTGACCTTGATGTTATTTATTAAAAAAAAGAATATTCCCTTTGACGGAAAGCTTATTTATTAGGGTATAGACAGTGCTCCTACTATCTTTTAGGAAAATTGATTTAAAATTATGCTATACCAAGGAAAACTGAAGTGGACCTGCACACTCATAGAAAATGACACATTTACCTTATAATCACACATAATACATTTAAATACATTACTTAGATTCTTTTATGTTTCAAAAGGTGATGTTTAAGATAGGTTTTACTTTTTGTCCCAAAATCACAAATATCACATTTAAAATCCTTAGACATTGTATGTTTCAAAAGATGCCGCTTGAAGAGGAATTTATTATTTGTCTCATAATCACAATCACCACATTTAAAATCCTTAGAAACTTTATGTATTAAAAGATGTCGTTTGAAGGTGCCTTTCACATTTGTCCCATAAGCGCAATCAGGACATTTAAAATCCTTAGAAACTACATGTTTTAAAATATGTCGCTTGTAGAGTTGACTATTATTTGTCCCATAATCACAATCAGCACACTTAAAATCCCTAGAAACGTTATGTTTTAAAAGATGTTGTTTGAAGTTGCCTTTAACATTTGTTCCATAATCACAATGAGCACATTTAAAATCTTTATCAACTGTATGTGTTGAACAATGTTTTTTGAATGCGCTTTTATCATTGGTCCCATAATCACAATCAGTACATTTAAAATCTTTAAAAATTGAATGTTTTAAAAGATGTCGTTCCAGGTTGCGTTTAACATTTGTCCTATAATCACAAACAGCACAGTTAAAATTCTCAGAAACTTTATGTATTAAAAGATGTCGTTTGAAGATGCTTTTATCATTTGTTTCATAGTCACAATCAGCACATTTAAAATACTTAGAAACATGTCTTAAAACGTGTCGTTTTAACTTGCGTTTATCACTCGTCCCATACTCACAAACAGCACATTTAAAATCCTTAAAAACGTTATGTTTTAAAAGATGTTGTTTGAAATTGCCTTTAACATTTGTCCCATAATCACAATGAGCACATTTAAAATCTTTAAAGTCTTTATGTGTTAAAAAATGTTGTTTGAATGCGCTTTTATCATTTGTTCCATAATCACAATCAGCACATTTAAAATCTTTAAAAATT